AACTTGAGCGAAGAGAAGCAGCGATTCAGGATTGAAAGCTAAAGAATACCCCCTGCACGCACACACAGCCGAAAAAAAAACTTTTCATCCCAATACAGTTGCAAAGAGAAGCGATTCAGAAAGGGAGATAGGCTAAAAAAAAATAACTCTGCAAAGGGGAGATGAGCTAAAAAAAAAAAACTTTTCAGCGCGTTGTTACAAGGTGGAAGCAAAGAGATGAGAAAGAAAGAGAAACTCTCGCCTTACAACGAACGCATCGTGGAAGTTTGTTGTAAATGATTTTTCCTATATCGAATTACTTGCTGTATCGAACTGATCGTAGCGTTTCCTGCTGTTTGTTATAAACGGGTTTGACTGTACTTAGTACCTATAGTACGTTTTGCCACGTGCCTACTTTGGATACTATGCACCTGAACGGCTTCTTTGTCTTATGAGTTTTAATTTTGTAAAACACCTCTTGGTGATCTTCCTTTTCCTTTCTGATAGAGGCACAAACAGACTCCAATTCATTCTTTTACTGTACTTTGCACACCATTTCCTTAAGCTCTCGAAAAGGGTTCAATCGTTTTTTTTTAATTTTTTTTTCCCGCTCTTAATGATTCTTTATTATATGTTCCAGCTTTCAACTCTACAAAGACTCCTTCCTTGTCTGATACCAGTAAACGCATATCAAACGACTTTAGCTCACGGGTAGCGTTGAGGTGTGGCTTCTGTCCTTTTTAATGACAAATCCCTCCTTGCAACTTGAGCTTACTGCTGAGGTCACAAATTGGTCCCGCTGGGTCTCTGGCACCATGGTTGGAGCTTGATGAATGGTAGACACCATGTCGCCACGAGACAGTCCCACGGTTGGGTTGAACTTCGGTCTTCGGTTGAGAACTGTCGCAGTTTGGGGTGTCAGATGCAGGTCTGATAAGTTGAGAAATCCAGGCCCTTGAGGTTTCCCAAAATCGCGTGCTTTCTTGTGGGGTGGTAGCTGTGTTTTTAAAAATATTTTCCTTGCTGATTCTAAGAACCCAAATGATCTGGTCTCCAAAAATTCATACTCGTTTGTGCGTTTGATGTTTGGTCCTAGATATGATCCCATGAACGGAGGAATTGCAGCGTTGACAATTTTCAGTTGGTTCGATATCTGTTTCCCTGCAAGTTGGATGATGTGATAGTTTGCATTCCAGTCTTGAGGGGCGAAGCCGTAAAGTCTCTGCAGCTCCGGAGGAACTTGTTTTTTTTTTTTTCGGATGTAGAATCCCAAGGTTTGGAGTCGAATCAAAAGCTGCAATCTTAGAAGAAAAGGGTAGCGGCATGCAGAAACTGCGCTTACCAGTTGTTAATGCCGGAGGACAAGAGTGGGGACATCGACAGCGAAGGGAGGCTCTTGTTACATAGGATGAACATAGATAGATGTAGGAGAGCATGTTGGTTAAACATCTTGGTATGTGAACGCAAGAGAGGACAAGGGACACACAAAAACACATCGGACACTGACAGCGCTCAACTCTCAACAAGTTTATTCTCTCTTCCGGCGTGCAACACCGGCATGATCTTGACAGCGCCCCTGCGGGCTCAAGGCCACGCTCGTGCCTCTCCCCCCGGACCGTGCTGGATTCCATGTCAGCAGTCATTCAAGCGCTTTGATTATTTTGTTTTAAGATATATAATTAAATTAATTAATCTCAACACAAAGCTTGGGGCTGCCTTTGTAAAACAGATGTTACAGTCAGCTTGAGTTTGTTTGTGGCCCGCAAGATGTGATACAAAAAAAAAAGCCGTCTGCATGGAATCACCCAAGTGCGGTGTTGCTGGTGCGGTATATGGATTTGCTTTAATTGGCTTGCGACGCCAAAATTTACAAAGCGCTTCTGTTCAAACTGATAAAGACCTACCTACCAGTTTCATGAAGTGGTGCCTGGCATTTGACTTCAGCCAAACTTGTCGGAGGTCACTTCTCTGGTACCTGCTAATTTCATTTCGCAAATTTTATGGGAGACCGATCTTAGGCTTTACTTGATTGGCCTGTCACTTATCTCATATCCTGAGTATGTCATAAGGAAATGCCCATCTCACAAATAGTTTATTTATCCTTAAAGGACACATGCAAAGGAAAAAAACATTTTTTTTAAACGGCTTAGATGGAAAAAGGACCCCATAAAACGATTTTACATTGAAGAAAAAAAACTTTTAGAGCTATATTTACGGCGCAAAACGAATTTGTAGTTGGCGCCCGCGGGCACCGCGGAAAAGTGGTCTGTATTTATCACGTGACTGGTCTTTATTTATCACGTGGTGCTTGCGCTCTTTCGGAAGCTTCCTATGGCCTCTAAAAGTAACTTATTCATCTTTGTTTGAAGTATAACAAAAAACCAAGACGAATAAGTAACTTTTAGAGCCCAAAGGAAACTCCTGAAAAAGCGCAAGCAGACGTGATAGACCTGTGCGCCGGTCAGACGACGGCGGCGGCGCCCCGAAGCAGACGAACTTGTGCGGAGGCGGCGACGGCGGCGTGGAGAAACGCGTTGAAGCGCCGTTCGCACAACGCTCAGCGTGCGGCGGCGACGCAGCGCGGCGGCGCGCGGGCCTACCACGTGACCAGCGGCGGCTCCCGCGAGCGCGAACTACAAATTCGTATAGCGCCGTAAATATAGCTCTAAAAATTTTGTTTCTTCGTTGTAAAATCGTTTTATGACATCCTTTTTCCATCTAAGCTGTCTAAAAAAAATTTTTTTTTCCTTTGCATGTGTCCTGTAAGTCCAACATTGGGGAATGCCCTTAATAAGTATGTTTAACAAAACCGTAAGTAAAAAAAAATACTATCTGGCATAGGAAGGATTATTGAAGTATTTCTTGAGCCCTTAGTTTTTTTTAAAGGACACATGCAAAGGAAAAATTCTTTTTTTTTTAAACAGCCTGGTTGGGAAAAGGAAGTCATAAAACAATTTTATAATGGAAAAAAAATTTTTAGAGCTATATTTATGGTGCTATACAAATTTGTAGTTGGTGCCCGCGGGCACCGCAGAAAAGTGGACGCTATTTGTCGCGTGGTACTTGCTCCCTTTCAGAAGCTTCCTATGGTCTCTAAAAGTTACTTATTCATCTTTGTTTCAAGTGCAACAAAAAACGAAGATTAATAAGTAACTTTTAGAGCCCAATAGAAGCTCCTGAAAAAGCGTAAGCAGACGTGACAGACTAGTCTGCCGGTCAGATGACAATGGCGATGGCGCTGCGGAGCAGACAAACTTGCGCGGGTGGCGGCAGCGTGGAGAAACGCTTTGAAACGGCGGTGCACCACGCTCAGCGTTCAGCAGTGGTGTGACTTTGAGGCGGCAGTGGCGCCGCGCGACGACGCATAGGTCTACCACGTGACCCGTGGCGGCTCCCACGGTCGCCAATTACGAATTCGTTTTGCGCCGTAAATATAGCTCTCAAAATCTTTTTCTTCAATGTAAATTTGTTTTATAACATCCTTTTTCCATCTGGGCTGTTTAAAAAAAAATTTTTTTTCCTTTGCATATACCTTCAAGAAAAATACTAAGGCAGCATGACTTACTTCTTTAGATTTCTTCATCATTATCGAAGATTCTTCCAGTCTGCAAAGTTTGCAAAAAGCCGGTGCTTGCAAAAAATCAAACAGTGGGCAGTAAACTATAGGTTGTATTCACTGGCAGTCATAGCTGAGCTCGCTGCTGCTTTCGAATCACTGGGGAAGAGAGAGAGGGGAAAGCTGCTTTTGTATGAATTTTGAGTGAAAGTTAATCTTTTATAATCTTCTAGAGCGAGAATAGCGACGTCTGGGGAAGCCTGGGACATACAAAGGAAACTCCTGGGGAGAAGAAAGTTTCTCCTTCCCTTCTTCTCTTGTGATTGCCTGAGAACTGACGGGAAACCCCTCCCAAGCATGCGCTGTGAGCGCTTGCCTCAAATATGACGTCCAGTGAATACCACCTATACTCCCTTCACCCCTAAGGTGACAGTGCATTGGAAGGTATACATGCTCGCCGGACCAATCAGCCGCCTTCCTTTCATCACTTGAGCCCGCTCTCTCCCTGTACGTATGAGAGGGAGCGTGATCACATGGCAAATTATAGACCTACGATTGGTCCAATGGGCATGTAGTTTCCACCGCCCTGTCAGGTCTGGGGTAAACGGAGTATAGTGAGTTCCTCTGTTCTTCGCGATTTAGCACACTGTTAATCAGGCTGTCGACCTGCTTTTTTACTGTGCACTTATTCATTAGTCTCTTCATTAATTTCTTTTTCTGGAAACTAGTATCAATGGATATGGTTGTAGACCATGGAGATCCTCCTTGTGCATCAGTTCAGTCGTTTAGTGTCCGAACCTGTCTGAAATTGAGGACAAAAATTCACCAGGTGCAGTATAACATTAAAAAGTCTGGCATTTAGGCTCTAAAGCACTTCATGGTTCTTAAAGTGGCTCACTACCGCTGTTTAATTGGTTGCGGGCTGCAAGGGACACATTTGTATCACAACATAAGGCGGAAACGACATAAAACACAAACACAGCTGTGAGGATGCTGAAACCGAAACCAACCGAATTGAAGCCACCCCATGGCGGTGAGTGTGTCTGTGCATTCTATCCGCCAGTGAGGCAACTACTAAGATCAGAAGGTCTATAAATAAATATTCATTCACCATGCCGATGGGCCCATCATCTAAATTTTCATATTTTTGCTAATCACAGTGTAAAAGCACAGTACTTGATCATATTTTAGTAGGAGCTGCATATTGTGGTCTATTCCCCCAGCTGTTTCTGAATGAAAGCACCCACCTTGGACATTAGGCAGCAATTGTTTCTTTACCTCACCGACTTGAGGTTTTCCCACTTCTCCTCAGGAGTGGAAGGCTTTAGTTAGTGAGAATTGGAGCAGATATGTTAGCTCGAGTTTACATTCCCGTTTGTAGACGTCCAGGTGAAACGGTGAAGGTGCTGTGATTTGTAAGGGTACTTGTTTTAGCAGCTCTTCCCTTTTCTTTCTTTTTCTCAAGGACGGCGGCGGTAAGGATGACGCAGAACTTGCCCGTCAGCTTCAAGACGAAGAGTTCAGGAGCCGGAGTCGCGCAGTCAAGAAGTCGCGGGTAAGCAGCAACTTATGCTTTCCTCTGGCACATAGTAGGTTCTCAAACGGGGATCCTAGAAACCCAGGGGTTCTCAGAGTTCCCAAAGTTCCTCAACTGTCCCTGTCCGCTATTTCACTAGTTGCACGCAGCACTACCAAGCTACAGGAGCGAGAGCGTAACGCAGGCAGTTGGGGAAGAGGGAAGGAGAAACTCCCCTTTTACCCTCCTTTGTGCTCCCCCACGTTGCTTCTCACGCCTCCGGAGATTAGCGCGTTACTGTCGAGACCGGTTATTACGAAGTCGACAGGAATCGGAAATCATTTTGCTATATCTGCTATTTCGTTATAACCGACTTCAGTTAGCGAAGTGCAAAAGGGAATGGGAAATCGTGATCGCTTCACTGTAGCCGCTATTTTGTTAAAACGGACTTCGTTATAAACGGTCTCGATAGTACTCAAAATTTTACAAAGGTGGCGTCCCTCAGTACTCTATGCAGCTAGTGAGGTAGAGTATAAATGAAGTGTTCTTCCAGGTTAAGCACTAGTCTAGTTTAGTGAATCTGAGCCACTCACTGATACGTAGCTATGAGCCAAACGCTGCCTTGTGTGTACATTATTGTATGAAAGGTCTGCAGGCTTCTGCACTGCTGTATTTCATTGCTGCCAGAACTGGGGGGGAGGGGGGGGGGGGGAGGGGGGGGGGGAGGGGGGGGGGGGGGGCTCTACAGTTGCCATTTGAGGCAGAGAGGGGCTCCTTGACATCTAAAAGTTTGAGATCCCCTGCTAGCAGTTCTTGTGATTTTCTCCGAGAGACACTAGCATTATGACCACATTTTCACTTAGATATAACTAGGGTTCTGCATTTTTGGAGTGTATTTTTGAGAACAATTGCAGGACGTTTTTACAGCGGAGCTGTTAAGGGCTAGTTTTCCCAGTATCGTGTCCGTGCGCAAACAAATCTCGACTCAAAACTCTGGACAGCTACCGCCATCTATTAGCGACAGCGGCAACCAGACAACCGACTTGCCGGTTGTCCGGTTTTCGCCGTCGCTCATAGATGGCGGCAACCTTTCCAGCCTTTCCACTCTGGCTTGCCGACTTGCGGCCGGCCATTATTTCATTCATAGTACAGCTTCATTGGTCTTCCTTCACCAGAATGGAAAGGCTGAAAGTTTTTTTTTTTTTTTTTCAGTTTATTTTTTACCACAAATTCGGTGTTTTTCGGAACCTTCGTTCATGATGCAAGAAAATCTGAGTTTTTGGGGTTTCTCGCGTTATATATTATATTTTGAGATTTAAAAAAAAAGTTTGAAAGCTTTACAAAGGTTTCTGCTTTGTCCTTGCCAACTTATACTGGAGAAGACGTCTCAAGAGACATCTTCTCCTGTGCCTTCTTTCTTCGACTTAAGAGTTTCCTATTAATGCGAAAGTATTAACTATCTCATGGAGCGGAGCTGGCGGCATCTGTAACCAGAAAAAAAAAAGAGACACGGAAGAAATGCCCATTCTCCCATTGGCTGACCGAAACGGCTCCTAGATAACCATTGGCAGCCGCTTCACGAGAGCTCTTGCTCTGCCGCTGCTCTCGTGTCAGGCGTTGCCGGAGGAGGGTGGGCCGAGGCATCTATGTTGTTGGCTGTAACCTCGGCAGTAGCGAAATATAGCCGTCCACGCCAGTACACCGCAGACAAACTAGGGTGCGGAAGAAGGACATTCTTGCTTTCGCATTCACAACTCATAAGTGCTTACGTGTCCTCGGAATTTCGTTTTTCCTCACCACAGTCTCGGGTTTTAAACATCATGATTAGTGTATTATGAACTTTCTTTAGCAGGAGAACATGGAAGGCAGATGACAAGAGTACATAACAGAAAGATTCAATTCTATTGACATACACGGAGAGTATTTAGTTAATTGTTTGTGGTGATGTTTCTACAGACTGTCAAGAAAGAGCCAAAGAGTGCCAAGAAAGAGGCCAAGCCCAAGGGAACCAAGAGAGGTCAGTGGTATGGTCTGGTTACCTCAGATAGTCACATTATTTTTTAACAGTTGCTAAAACTGTTGAGCAACAAAACTATGATGTATTGTTGTCTCAAGGCTGGTATAAGCATTTGCCTTTGACTGCAACTGAGTCCCAAAAAGGGCATGTCACAATCTTTGAACACACTTCTAACGAGGAAATAAGCTTTGCACGATTGTGGTTTTGGGTTTGTTGAGTTGCTTAGAGCATCTAAATTGAGTTGTCACCACAAAAGGACGATCTCAGAATCGATTTAGTGCCCCTTTAACTCTTTCCGTACCACGGGGAAAAGTGGTGATTCTTGAGGGATGGACAAAACGTTTTTAATTTTAAGAACTAGTCAGCATATGGGTAATCATGATACATCAAAATGCTGCCAATAAGCTGCTCTTTAGAAGAAGAAAAAAGACATACTAATATCTGAAAATTGTTTTTTTGAAATTTGAGTGCTGAACTTGGAATTTGTGCAACAATGAGAACAAAAAGTCTAAACATATGTGGCTGTATTGATTCATAGTATGATTTTTAAAAGTCCTAAATATACAAAGTGGATCCCATATATACCACTATCACTTCTGTAAGTTAATCTCTAGTGTCTTTTTCTGGTCTTTAGGCTAGTGTGCTTCCGTGGCGTCGTGCCATTCAGAGACGCTGTTGCATGTGGAGGCACATATCCTCCAGAAAACTTGTTTTTGCACAAAACCTTGGTTTGTTATAGCACTGCTCTAACTTCTCCTCTGCTGGTGTCTTTATGAGGAAGCTTGAATGACGCTCTCCAAGGAGCACCTGTCGATATTCTGCATCTCGGTGGTGAGACGTCGCTGTGCTTGTTCCAACATCATCCACAGTCCACACTGGTGCTGTCATCTAAAAGACAAGCAGCAAAAGCAGTAAAATCGTGTGATTGAGGCTTTTTTTCTAGCGCTCTTCAATGTCAGCAGGACAGCACAATTGGCAAGTGCCACCATTGCACAGAGATTCATTTCTGATAGCTCACCAGCTTGGGAGAAAGCTCGAAACAAAATCAAAATCGAAGCTGTAGTTCTTCAGCAATCCACAAGATGGCGCAAAGCGTTCCTGCGTGCCAAGTTTCTAATTTTGGAAGAGCATGGAATCCTTCGATCACGGGTGATGGATGGCCAATGGGCGTGGTACGGAAAGAGTTTAACACTTCCACCAGATCACAGCACACACTTGGTCGCAGTCAAACGCAAATGTGTGAGCCAGCCTTTGGGCATCATGTTGTCCATTCACAGAGACCGATCATCATGAGCTACCCGTTTAGAGCCATGGAAAATTTGTATCAGTAATGTTCTAGTCATGTGCTAGCCATGACTTGTTTCTAGCCAGGGTGGCGAATCGGTCATTATTCCGGTGTGGTTCGGGTTCAGCGGCTTTGTATTTTGTTCCGGTTTGGTTACAATTCAGTGCTGCATGTGTAATATCGTTTGGCTACCGGTTTCACCAAGTGTGAACCGGTTCAAATCGGTTCATAACTCTACCTTAGGCTATGGCCGCCAATGCATTTCCTTTGGCTTTTGTTGTGCACGCACTCAGTAGCTGGACACAAAGGTGGAGTGTAATGTTTTCATCGCACCAAAATATTAGCGATTGGCCAAAATTTTGTCGAATCTTGGGATTTGGCAAAGGTGAAGTTTTGCCAAACTTTTCTAAAGATTGGGCAAAAGTTGATATTTCGTTATTCTAGCAAAACAAGTTTTTTTTTTTTTTAACTTAAATATACTATAATGTAGATTGATTATTAAATAACGTGATATCCTACAAGATTATTGTCAGTTTTGTGTGTTTACTGGCAATTTTACAGTGCCTTCTTGCAGAAGAGGTGTGAAGAGTTTGCATGGTAGTGGGCGCTGTAACAATACGCGAGTTTCGGTTTTGAGGCCTTATCAGCACAAACCTGCAAGCGTCTGTACATTGATAAAGTTAAATAAAGGCGGGAACACTGTTCTTACTTTCTCCGCGAGTTACCGTTTCGCTCGCGCGAAAATGAATGCAACGGCTGCTCCATCCGAAGAGCTAGCAATATTATTGTAAGTGTGCATGTTTTTCTATTTGAGTCACTTGACGCCAGCTTTGCATGAAAATGTGCGTCCCATATTCGCAGCATCCCGTTTTTAACTTTTAAAATGCCGGTTTCTGATATTAGGACATACTCGGACGTTTAGGAAGATGGGAAGAGGACTGTCGAATGTGCAACGTCGAGCATGATAGTTCTTTGTTTAGTGTAATGCAAATAGTTGAAAGCCGCGAAATAACGCTAATTAGAAAGCAATATAATTCTGTTTTGGCACAAACTATTTATGAGCCGAAAACAGGATTGCTATAATTGCGAGGAGTGCTTTAAAGTACTTTCCAGTCAATGTTGCAACTACCTTGTTGCATCAAACAAAAATGTTGCGCTATCCTCAAATGTCAATTTATTTGCCAATGAAAATGTCATAGTTTCCTGAACATGGCATATATCGGGTGCCCACAATGTTTTGTTGGCTCTCGAAGTGATTGTATAAATCAGCCTCATAAACACATGGCGCTACGATTTATTTGAGAGGTGTCTGAACGTGGTGGATTCATTATTTGAAAGTATGATGGCATAAAACCTTCGGAGTAAAGAAAATAATTAAAATTTTTGTTCTATAAAAAAATTTCTGCTAAGCTTTTTCTTTTTTTTCCCCCGAAATCATCAAAGAACTTTTTTGGGCCCTTCTGGCGTTTATTACGACTGAAAAACGGGTGGAATGAAGAGGAAACTAAATTAGCTTACATATATTTCAGTTAATTTGCCCGAAATAAACGTCACAGTGGCCCAAAATAATATTTATGTTTACATGCCAAGTAGTATATAGTTTGTTTCAAAAACTATATAAATACACTGTGATTTTTTTTTTTGTGTTTTACTCTGGTGAACTAATACTTTCATAATTGTACTGAAAACTTCCATTGTCGCGTTCTCGCACATACGCAGAGGTTTCCCAAATATTTGCGAACTTGGCCGAATCTGAAGTTTGGCAGATTCGCTCCATCACTTCAAAATAACATGAGAGAATGAGAAATGCATAATAATTTGCTCCACGTATGCAAACTGCACTTGGTCACCGCAAATGTCAGGCACACTGTCACTGCACGTGGCGCTGTCACATTTTTGGTAATGATGTAAAGAAAGCTTAATGCTTTGAAGGTAACATACCACATATTATTTTGTTTAAAAAAAAAAAAAAAAACAAAGTCCATTGAATAAAGCTTGAAGTTTGATCAAATGCGTCAAGAAGCTTACACATGTTAGTAGGATTTGGTCTTGCAAATGACTATTTAACTGAAATAATTAAATGGCCCTACAACTGAGGGATCTGTTTGCAGTTATTCTTTCCAGAAATGAAGCTTGACTTACATCAACATGGCAAACACAAATGGAACGTCAAGGAATACAGAAACACATACACAACCTGCTACAATTGTGTAGGAAATTGTTTCGTGTATTGTTGGATTAAAATTAAATAATGATATGCTCTGAAACAAATCAGAGGGTGACTCATCATGTAATTAGGAATAGGCCTAAAAATAATTATTTTGGCAAAATATATTTTCATTACTATGAAGCAGTTTCCCAAACCCCCCCAAAATGCATACTACTATACTACTGGACATTGTTACTCATGAAAATAGAACTATGCTCTGTTCTGTTCTGTTCTATAATTTATTTCTCGCAGTCACACAGGCACTTGGAAACATAACCCAAGTAGAGTACTCATGCAATATCAATCAGCCAGCAAGCAGTCATACTGTCGAACTGCCTGTTATGTATGACTGAGTAGTTCAGTTGAAGAGGAGGGGGAGAGCGAAATGCAATCAAAAGATAATTCAAATAAAAAGAACGAGAAAAGAACCAATAATGTGCTGCATTTGAAACGCAAAAAAAAAAAAAAAAAAATCTTGAGCAGCGTCTAGAGCTACACTTCGTTTCAGCTTATGATGGACCACAGCAGACACTACGAGCCACCCAGCTATTCCAGCGTTGTGAATGTCGTGAATATGCGCCCATTGCTGCACCCTTCTCGAAGGTCATGTGACACTAACGCAGCATTGGAGATAATATAGTAAAAGTGCAGGCGAATTGGCCCCGTTTGCTTGCAGTGCGGTTAAGTGCTAACCACGGTTAAAGTTAGCCGCAGTACCTAGGAGAGGGATTTTGAAATCGCGTGACTGGCTTCGGTAGGGATGCAGGGAGCCACGCATGGCCCCGTCGCTTTGTTTGACAAAATGTCTGCAGCGTATGCAGTTTCCACGTTCGCGGTCGCATTGGTGTTTGTCTTCAGGGCCCATTTGCTCGAAGCCGGGTAACTTTAACTGCGGTTAAAAGTTAACCGCCCTTCGCAACTAGGTACCTACAACTACCTTGCCAAGTTTGGATGAGGGCTGGATGAGGCGATAGCTCCGTGTTTTATTATAGGGTGATAGCTGGTGTCACCTACTCGTTTTAGCGAATATAAGTGGCTTCCGTGGAGAAAGTTGCCAAAAAGGGGGGACCCAAGAAATGCGCGCTAGCTACCAGAGCCGTTTATTGGGAAAGTTTGGCCATTGATTGGATTGAATAGGCGAGCATCTTGTGGCCATCCACAAACCGCGAAACAGCCCCTAGTGGTGGTCGTGAGCTCTAAAAGTGTGACTCGACTAATTTAAGACATTTTAGCGTCGCTGTAGTAAAAAGGTGCAACTTTTGGTGACTGAAAACTCGGCGCATGTGAGGTTTTCGTCAAGTCCATATTCAACGGTAGAATAAACGAACGCATGTTCGGAACCAGAGCAAACTGCGTAGTTGCGATTAGGGTGCCTTCATGTGCGCTTTGCTTAGGGTGGAGGCATCTGGTTATTTTGTCCCACACTTTTATTTTTTGTTCAGAAGCGCGTGAAAGATTGTGTCCCTGCACGCGTTTGTGGCGCTGACTGTGCTATGGCGACATTTTGTTTTCATTGATTTCTTTGTATTTTATCCGTGAGCATGGGGGGTGCTGTCGGCATCGGGTACTACAAGGGGTGGCATCACCGTATACAGAAGGACATTGCGACACCCTAGTTGCGATCATTGCTAATGTAATATAATGTAATCTCTTTATTTGGGTCTGGACAACCGCGTAAAGGCTACAGCCTGTACCATGGAGGCCCGCGGTGCCGCGTGTAATGTACATGATAATGCGATGAGTATACACATGCAAGGTGACGACAAGATGGATTGTTGCTATTGCGGAGGATGTCAGTTCGATTTGAAGATGTCCACATTTCGTTGAAGCAGGTCAGCAGTGGGCCAAGGGGATCTGCGGCCTGCCGTTCGATCGGTGCACGGTTGCACAAAGGAGCCCCAGGAAGATGATGGTGCTGTTGGTCACTGGGGTCGAAGCATCAGGCTCCAAGGGGGGGGTAGCCCAGTCAAAGCAGAAAGCTGCCGCCTCCGAGTTACTGAGGACCAGTGCTTAGACTGATGCACCACCAACGCCCAGTGCAGCACCCTCTTAGCGTCGTCGTCGTCGTGGTGCTGCTGCGAGATTGGATACTTCTATTTCACGCTTTCAATATTGTTTCCAATATTGTGACATCGCGGTTTGCTGATTGGTTGGCGCATTGTCGCATATTTAGTTTACGCTCTAACTGCGGGGAGAATATTCGGCGCTGGCGGCGTCTGCGTGCTACCGGGTTCCTGCGACGGAGTGCGGCGTACATTTGAGCAGACAGATCTTTTGTTGCTCGTGGTACAGGTATTGGGTAAGGTAAAACTAAATTCACCCTTGTTTGGAAAATTTCTAAATGCTTGGCTGTCTGAATGGAAGACAAGCCTCGTTGAAATTTCCTTCCAAGTTCGAAAAAGGATTACTAAGTTCAGTCCCTTAGAAACAATAAGGAAGAAGAGAGCAGTGAAAGGCGGGCGGTACACCGGCAGCATGGTTGGCCAGCATCTAAGAACTCTATATAACACCATCATAAATTGAAAAGCCTGTAATTTGGCTCGAGTGAAAATAGACCTATTAGTAAATTACCCAAGCATGGAGGAGAACGCAGGAAGTGTAATTCTACGGTCTGCGCGCGCCGCCCTTCCTCTTATAAAAGATTCAAAGTAAATAATCATAATAAGGCTTTGACGAACGCTCGTGCAAGGCTAAATTTGTTTTAGACTTCTGGCAATCCACTTTCTAAAAACGTTGCCATGCCGACAATTATTGCGTTCATTTAGGGTTAGGAATGTCCACAATCAAAAGACTCTAAAAAATGTGGCGAGGTCATTGATCATGCTTTGCGATTAAAGTGAGGTAAGGCAAAGCGAAAGCCTCCTGCACCATTCATTGCTGACTAACACGCCAAATATTGCAGCTACGACATATTGGTTCCAAAGCGAGCGGCGCTCACTCAGCGGGGCACCGCCATGTTTTCCTGCATCCCTACCGAGCCAGTCACGTGATTTCAAAATCCCTCTCCTAGGTACTGCAGCTAACTTTAGCCATGGTTAGCGCTTAACCGCGCTTTGAGCAAATGGGCCCTGGTGAATGTTCACCATTTTGAATAAGCCTGAAACTGGGGCAGAAATGAACACATAAGTCGAAGGAACAGAAAAGGACAGGACGACGTCTCAACACAGAAAAGGACAGGAGACGTCCTCCTGTCCTTTCCTGTTCCTTCGACTTTTGTGTTCATTTCTGTCCCAGTCTCAGGTTTATTCAACATGGTTAACAGCATTGGACTGGCTTTTCTTCAACAGCTTGGCACCCTCGCAGTCCATCGTAAGGTGAAGCGGAGTGTACTGGGGGCGATAGTCTGGCGCCTGGTGGCCCTGAGATGTGCCACTCGCCAACTGTTCCGGATTTTGCGGGACTGTCTCGACTTTTCATTAAGCGTCCCGAGTCCCGCGTCATCCCTGTCGGGACAGCCATATGTCCCAAATTTGGTTCAGACCGTTCAGTTAAAAATTTTATGTGATCCAATGCACGCCCAACAATGCGCATCACCCTGCGAAGCACGAATCGCACGAAGCAATCTTGCGCTGGCTAGCGTTGGCTGCGATAGGCTTTACCTGCTTTAGCATGCATGCCACGGCAAGCCGGAAATCAGGGCGACATTGGTGCCGGGCAGCACCTCTTATCGTCATCGTTTGTATAAACACCTTTGTCTCCCTTCTCTTTCTATGTATATGCACATACATAGAAAAATTTAAGCGGCATCCTCTCTCTTCGATGGCTAGCTCATGAGTTATTATTGTAGCAGGCTAGTCATGGAGTATAGTTCACATGCCATTTGTCAGAAACTGGTAACTGCGGAACACTGGGTGTTTCATGTCCCTAGATGCCACTCGGCATATCGCCAGAGCCGCTTAACGCTGCATCCGGTCAATATTTAAATATTTTCCTTCCACTGACCACATTTGACGATCGGGAAGACATCAGTGTTTATCTGTGCAAGTTATCCTCATCGTTTATTTGCTTTCAAATTGACCGTTATGCAGCTAACCTTACAGAACACCTGCTGCAAATCACGACTTTGACCACACTAGTGCCAAACGAAGGCAGTCTTTCTTCTTGTGACGCAACGTATTAAGCTGAATGAATACCCCCTATCTACGTTTATTTTAACAGGTTTTGCTGAATATGACAATCTGTGTCTTGTCAAAAGCCACCGTCTGTTTGGAAGCAAGCCTATAAATATTCCATCAAACCAGTCATAGTTGCACAAAGTTGGCAGGAGGCAATATTTAGGACTGATAACATGGTCCTTGTTAGCCTTTGATTGTTCACAATGCAATGCTTTCTTTTTTCTTCTTTCAGAAACTGCATACTCAAGGAAGTGTGCCCTGTCTCCTGAACTGGCTGCTGTCATGGGATCAGACCAGGTGCGCCAATTCTGTGGCTTAGTTTTGACTGTGCATTCAAAGGTGGCAGTTTGGCTTAACCTTGTCACTGACCTCGGAGGCTGGCAGTGGTAATTGCAGCTGTATTTTGGTTCCATATCGCTCCTGGCTATGACGGCGGGCGATAAACGCCGTTGAATTGAAACATGGGTTCTGGCATCATGTTTGCTGAAGCTGTATGTTGCCAGCCAAATTATGAACTTTGTGCTAGTAGTTCACAAGTTTGATGTAAACTGAAAATTTTTTTTTGCTGGTCATCTCCGTCTTTACACATTTGTGCCTTGTTTTATTAGTTGTTCAAAATCTGGAGGAATTGCAATCTGTAATTAGACATCATTGTTGTCACAGTCTTAACTGGCCAAGATGCCTTTTGATGGCTTGGCGTGAGACACCCACGGTTCTGTTCGGTTTAGTGAGCACGAGCTCCACATGAAATTGGTTGAATGGTACAGTCTTGGACAATGTAAGCTGGGACAACTGAGTGTTGTTCAAGAGGAGACTGCAATAAAACAGCATGCACCAAAGCAGCATAGCATCTAAGCAGCACAGTGACAGAATAGCATACTCAAAAACGGTACATCAAAAGAGCACAGCCACAAAACAGTTAACCTTTGGGTGCTGGATTTTTTTTCACGCACGTCGAACAAAAATTTTGTTTCCATGCAGAAACACTGCAGCATGCTTTAGGAAGTATATATTTCTTTATCGAAGACTCTCTGTTGTATGGGCTCGTTAATTGATGCGTGGAAGCCTCCAACCTAGGATATTTTTATAGAATTATACTTTTCAAGACGGTACTATGCAAAGTGGCATCCCAGCCTCGCACCGCAGGGTCGCTCTTTTCAAATGGCCTTAAACTACATTCTTTTTTTGGAACTGTCGCTTTCTTGTTTAGTCATAGACTTGCCTTTCTGGAACAACGAAGGGGCAAACCGAAACAATTCCCCTGAACAAAACATTCCACATGCCATCAGCAGGTGTTGTTATGAGACAAAACATTGCTCTACAGGTAAGAATAAAGTAGACAGCCCAGTTGGGAGAGGTAGGGAGCAAATCGAAACTGAAACCTGCATGGGAGCATGCCTAAGTATGCTCAGGCGTGGCACTCAAGAGATTAAAAAAAGGCTTTTGTTTTTCACTACAGTATAGACCACTTACAACGTAACCGCTTATAGTGCAGGACCAGGTATAACGCGGCTTTTTTAAACCACCGGTTCGCCTCCCATAGAACTCCATGTACTTACATACCGCTTAAAATGAAGGCGCGCGAAGGGAAATACCGGTTATAGTGCGGCTTCTAGAGCAGCGCGCCGACCGGCGCAGCGAGCACGCTTCCCTGTGCGACACTAGATAACGGCACTAGCCGCAAGCGGCACTCGCGGGGGCAAGGATGGCAAGGAGGTTGCTCGAAGAAGCGGGCAGAAGCGAAGAGAGAGGCTTCAGTTGCCATAGCGACGGAGGGACGCGCGCACGTGTTCGCAAACATGGCACCGGTGGTAATCGTCGACGGCGTAGTGGAAGCTCATCGTTCCGCATAAAAGCGCTATCCTTGACTGAATTTTCGTCGTGTGTCGCTAGGTAACCCAGCACGTACTAGAAGGGAAGATCCACCTACTCGTGCGGCTATGTCGTGGCGGCACTCTCATGACAGCAGAAACGCCCGTGTCGTTGCGTTTGTTTACTTCCGACTACAGTGGTGCTTTCTAAGCATTTGTGTTTTCGAACATCGCCCGGATTTCTTATTTGGAGCATTTCATGCCTTTTTTTGGAGCATTTCATGCGCGTACCGTATAAAGGATGCGAGTTTGCACGCGTTTTCATCACCAGAGAAAAGTGATTAGGGTTAGCAATCCTGAATGCTTGCAACGTCCGTCCGCAACCCGCGACGCCGTTAAAAGTCTGCGCCAGGCAAAAGTTACTAATTTCTTTTAAAACATGTGACACACTTGAGAGAGAAGTGTACTAGTCTGGTGAAATAAAGACTTTCCTCAAACTAAGCTTTATTTTTCATCTAATATAAAATAAATTGTTTTCCAAAGGTAAGTTGTCTCATGGCATGTATTTTGGCCTGAAAAATTGATGTTTTGGTTATAGCGCGGTACCGCTTATAGTGCAGATTTTCGCGACTCCCGCGACATACGTTATATGCAGTCTACACTGTATCATAGATTTTTGGAAATGGTACATTCAAAGGGACATGTTTGTTTATATTATAACGTGTGTTGTGATTTTTCTTTTTCTTTCATTGAATCCACATTTAGTGCACTGAGTGCAAATAATTTGAAACCTCCCTTATTCGGAATTTTTAAATTGCCTGTTTGTAGCGGTAAATGTTTTGTAGTGGTTATAGACTGTGGGAAGTCATGCCCCTGTTTTGCAGGTATTGCAAAGACCTTCAGGCCAAAGGCCTTTATAGAATCAGCATCCGAGCGCATTCTGAGGGACATGCGCTGGTTTCTGTGCCATCCGTCTGATTTTCTGTCAAGTGCATAGTACACGAGAGTCTAGTAGAGGATTGGTCGAGCACCTGCAGTTTTTGCTCCTCACAAGTGTCCTGCAGGGTCGTTCAGGATCAAATTGGTGCATGAGCAACTGAGCATTATGGCTGGTTTTCTATTCAGCTTTTCTTTAAGTCAGTCAAGCAAGAATTTTAAACCAACCAAAGAGGAGCATGTCCTTTCCTTTCATACATTTCCACTTAGCTGAGTGTAACCGAGCAGATTAAAGGGACCATGAAACTGAAGTTTGGTCAGTAAAAATTGAACGATCCTTCTTGTCCCCTCGAGGCTGCGTCATTGTCGGCGCGATTTTTTGGTGCCGCAAGAGGGTGCAAAATTTTTTTCCTTTTTCCTCTTGTGCTTCTTCTGAGGCCTCATGGCCCAGTCTGCTGTTCTGTTTTGAGTGAGTCTAACCGAATAGAGGTCTGCAACTTCCTAAAATGTCCTGGTTTGCTGCAGCCTCCATTTAGCGCAACTACCGTAGGTTGGCGAAAACCTCCACGAGCAGTTGTATCATCTGTAGGTATAGAGGCACCTTCAGTGTAGTGGGGATATTTGGTTCAAATCTCCCCAAGCAAATTCCAACAGGGGTGCCTTTATCTCGCCCTCTTAGGCCTCCGCTGTCAAGTTAGCTAGCCCTCTTACATCTGCCGATTGTTTGACTGCAAAAAGGCTTAACCTTGCAAGGTGTGTGTTACTTTGTGTCCACTAGCATGCCACTGACAAACTCTGGAAATAGATCCACACTTTTTATTCATTGCACTGATACACTTGGTGCAAACACTACTTAGTTTCGGGTGTTTGAGAGAGACGAGGATTGTGTTTTTCTTTCCGCCCAAATGTAACACAATATGGCGGGGGAAATACTTAGTTGTCTGATCTCTGGTCATGGTTGCTAAACTGTTGGCACCTTCAAAATAATGCCAACCTTGCCCTGTATAGATGGCTCTGGTACTTGTCAGAATTGAGAGCCACTATAAAAGTAGCGGGAGCACAAAAAAACCTTTCATTCATTTTTTAGGAAAAAATTTGTAATATTGAGGTGTTTACCACATAGAAGAGCGATTAAATTTTGTATACTGTTCGGAAATATTCGGTATTTTGAAATTCATACTATTAAAATATTTCTTCATTGGAACCATAGAAAATCGGAAGGTGATTTTGTAAGTTTTCATAAATCTGAGATGAGTTAATCTGACAATCACAATAACGAGATTTGATGTAGTGTAGGCAGATTGCCTAGGCGGTCTCATTTTGGTGAGCTCATGCAGTGGGAGCAGATCAGAAACATGAGCTTGCACTTGTGGCATATGTCTATGCCACAAGTGCATATGGCATATGTTGTGAGCTATTACATGTGCTTTATTACAATTTTTGCATAATTTTCCCCGGTTCCCCTCTCCCATTTTACGGATTACCTGGTGTTGCGTTTTTTTTTTACTCCACTTTTGTAACCCCCAATCCTGCTTGGGCCGCAATTGGCCTGCAGTATTCCTAAATAAAATTCAAGGAGACATTGGACAGAGGTTGTGGAAACATAAAGCTAGATATGTCAAACGTTTTTGAAACCCAAAGTTAGAAAACCATTCCTGCTCTTAAGCATTTGAATTTGCCAAGCCGCCCGATTTAGGGGATCTTCTAATTCCTTAAGGCGATCTAGTCGCATCGCCGATGCGACTAGATTGCATTGGCGATGCAATCTAGTCGCACGATAACTTTCATCGCAAAAGCGACCATCGCGGGAAAAAAGCGACGCGATTTGAGCAGTCGTCTGCTGACCCGACATTTGCGATGTGATCTAGTCGCGGAGCGGCTGAGTCATTTGATGGCATTCGGAGCGAGAGTTTTCGAGAAGTGACTTGCCAACAAAGGCGTTGGACTCTCTCATCACGCACGTCAGTGTGACCATCTAATTTTTCTGCGACGCGATCTAGTCGCATCGCGCGACTGCTTACATTGCTGGTGTGAATGCGCCTTTAGGGTAGCAAATTAGTAATCCTTGAAGCTTTTGAATCTATGCAGTTGAGAGGCTTGACAGTCCTCTAACTTTTATTCCAAAGTTTGGCTCGATTGTCGCAAAGCTTGGTTCTACATTACGTGTAGAACCAAGCTTTGCAATAATCGAGGTGATTTCTGACCTGAAGGGATGGAGGATCTTGTGGTGCAGGCACTTCGCGAGAAGCTAAAATTATTTGCAAAAACACCACAGAGAAGCCTCCTCGCAACTGACGGCAGCATGCTTCCATTTGCCGCTTCCAATGGGCGTTCCTAACACATTTAGATCTCTGCTATGCTGGTAAGAGAAAATACGAGAGACAAGAAAAACTTCTTTGCTGGCAATGATTTAATTTCCTACAGATCTATGCCAACATGCTCATTGAAGCCTGTTGGTAATCATTCATAAATTGGAGGTGTGACAGCCTGTGTTCCGGACGCCGTCTGTCCAACCGACGTATTTTAGGTGCTACAGCACAAGTGTGCTTTCGACATGTGAATGACTGTTGGTGCATTTGTCACATCATGGTGTGCAATTGCCTTTTTCCAGATGGCGAGGCATGACGTGGTGAAGAGAATGTGGGGCATATTCCGGGAGAGGGAGCTTATTGTGAGTTGAAGCGCAGTATTCTCAATAGTTTTGTCTCTTTCGCTCTTCATGAGTGCTCACTATGCTGTTTGTGGTAAACTTTCTGGGAATGTCTCTTTTTCTATTTTTTTTCTTGTGCAGGACCCATCGAACAAACGGTTTGGTATCTGTGATCCGGAGCTTCTCAGGGTTTTTGGTGAGCAGGTTTGAACCTTGGCATGGGGAGTTTGGAAAAAAACAACAAAAGAAACTAGGTAGTTGTTGGGGCATTTGTGTGGAAAGGAAGAAGGACTGGAGCAGTCTTGGAAAGTGCATTAGTAGACTTGTAAGTTTGTACTCTATTGTTGCACTATTAAAGGGTTAGTCCACCGATTTTTTGAGCTATATCAACTAACTATATTTTCTAACTCCCCGGCCTTTAGCCTTTCCGGTATGCTATTTAGTATCGCGAAATTCATAATAGGTATTGTGAAATCGGCAAATGAAAATGGTGCAAAAACCAACATTCAAATATTCGCGCACTTTTCCGTGCCGTGACGTCAGTGGCAGGCAGGCTTGCCAGTCGAGCAAGTAGTCTAAAAATAGAATATGCCAATCATTTGTTCCGTGCTGGAGCGCGGATACGGGAGCGAGCTTCCAAAGCACTCATTTGACACCAAGAAACTGCTTCAAATCCGTTAAGAACAACTTCTGTAGTCCAAAAAGTTAACCCCTGCCTTCCACTGATGTCACTTTTTCGTTGTTGCCAGTAGAGACTTTCAGTTTGAAAAACATGGTGAAGACCAAAACTGTAAATTCAATAACTTCGCGAAAAAACAATATTTTGACCTAATATTTGGGATACTATTTTAGCAATATTTGTTGGTTAGCTTAGCAAAATTTCAAGCAAATCGGAGACAATGAAAAAAACGGTGGAGTATCCCTTTAAATGTGCCACTTATTTCAAATAATCCTTGCTAGTAGACTGTACTGCCAGTGATTTGATAATCAGAGAAATATCAATAGACATTCTTTATGCTACACTCTTTTGTTCTGCCATGGAGGAACCACTACTCTGGTCTCAGCAGACTATTCATTATCATCATCATAATTTATTTTCCTTTTCGGTCATTATACGAGGGGGTTGCAATAATTGTTTATACTGGTGACCCTAGACCCACATACTGCAAAAAGTTGTAGCGACTGGAATTTTTGCTATTTTGAGAACTAGGAATGCATTTGTGGTGGACCTTCCTTCTCTCACCAGAACATGTCTCTGAATGCATTAATCTCTCGTTTGCTTCCAGGTCAAAAGCGTGTTCGGATTTTCGGGATGATGAAGTACCTGAAGAATCACATCAAAGACGTCAAGTGACCGTTTTTCGGAATGTTGCAGGCGTGCCTCCACTAGTAAACCTCCCTTTCCCCTCTCTCTTTGTTTTCTCCACAAGGGTGTGTACCTTCGAGTATTTATCACACATTTGTGAAGTGTGTGTGTGTGCACGTGGCAGCTGAAGGGACGATTGTGATGATGAATAGCTGGAAGGAGAACCCCCTCTTCATGTCCTGGGCTTTGTTTCTTTATGGGGTATACATTTTCCAGACCATCACTGCAGTCTTGTTAATATTAATCACCTCTCATAATCACGTGTCAAATGTAGCTCTGCACAGAGGTAACACCGTTTTTGTTTTTGTGCCTCTCAATTTTGACGACTGGCGCACGTTTAGGCACTTCCAGGCCCTGCATAGAATTTTAGTTTCTTGAATTATGCCGGCGGTGCTGCCTTCACTCGATTGTGCCCAGGTTTGTGTAGGAGTTTGTCTTAATTTTTTTTTAGTAATGTTACATTAAACTGTTCTGGAAAGAGACAGTCCCGACTCGAAAGTTATTGCACTTGTATTGGTGTATAATAGTGTGAATATTTCCAATACTTACAGTGTCAGCCATCCATCATCTGAAGTGTAATAAACCATGGCCTTGTGATAATGGTCTGGCTCAATGCCACGAGTTCAGCGTTTTACTTCTGTTCACCGGTTTTCTTGACACAACCCACCTTGTGAGGCTTCCTGAGTTGGTAGTCTTGAATCTGAAAAAGAGATATCTCTCCTGTGTCTAATTGTTACGAGTTTATTACTGGTGCTTTCATTTGTCTTCGTAAATGTGATGAAACATATGGTTGGTTTTACTTGTTGGCGGACAACACATTGCTGGCTTTTCTACATGCCTTTGCAGTTTTATGTGGTCATTGTTATGGATAATCGCCCTGAAGTACAGATGTATGGAGGCACCTTATTGGAGTGGTCTTTCAAAACACTGAAGCCTTAATATTTTTTATAAGAGCACTCTAAAGGCGGAGGTAATAAAGAGAACAGACCAACAATCTCATGCAGCAGTGTATGGATGTTGAGTAGTGCACTAAGTGTATGAAGTGGGCATGGACAGCTTTTTGTTGATATCGGGCCTTGGAACATTGACATCAAAATGGAATTGAGGTGTTGTTTTTTTGCTGCTGTTCCATTGCCTTCTCATGAGGTTACACCAGCTCAGCTTGTCTGTTTAACATCTTTTCCGTCGGCGTTTATGCCACTGATGTGATTGCTGCACCAAAGTGTTTACGCTGCTATATCCTGCCACATTTGACCAAAATGTGAGGAATTTGTGCCAAAACAACTTTATCTTTAATAATAGTATTTAAAACATAATAGCTCAGGTCTGGCTACCCGGCCGGTAGTTACTTTAGGCTTATGCGAGTTGATTATTGCCTCCAGTACCATACTATTTGACTGCATTTTTGTAACAAAGACTTACGGAGGTCATGGTCTTCTGGCGCATTAGTTGTGTGCACTTCTCGCCGTGCATTGGTGTACTGCAGAGAAGCGACTACTGCGGAGTAGGCATCACAATTTTGTGTGTCTTGCTTCACTGTAGTGCACCCTGGTGCTAAGGGAAAAGCACTCTGCCAAAGCGAGATGGGACACAATAGACTACTTCCATAAAGCCCTGCATGCAACACGGCGCGCGTTGCACTCTGGGAACTAGTTGGCCAGGGAGGAGGGCGGCATAGATTCGGTTTCCATCGACACGTCGACAAGAAACTATACACAGAGCGTGGACTATTACGGCCGTTATCTCATGTTTTCTGGTCCCGAAAGCATCATTTGTGGTCTCTAAACTAACGTAAAGGGCCAGACCTCGAAGCTTTAGCACAAGCCTGAGAAGTATAGCTTGTCTTAACACATCCTTGTTGTATTGTTGAACTTGAGCCTTCCTGTTAGCGTTCCAACCGAGGTATGTGGACGAGCCAGTGCTGGGAATCTCGACGCTGCGAAGCTCGGGGATCTTACTCGTTTACGAATCAACAAACTGTAGCAACCAATAAGTATGCATACATCGAGCTCGCGCCTTTACATTAGTGTTGTTGATCAGGAAGTTTGTTTGTTTCGTGCGTCCATAGACGAAATATTACTTCTTGCAATTACTGTTTTTCTTAATATGCTTGAGTATGCGAGGTAAAACTCGGAGGCGCCATTGAAAGCTCAATTTTAACACACTTATCGCTTATCTGTACTGCAGCCCGCAGCACTGCACGAAGTGAAGTCCCCGCCCGCTTGCATTCCACTAATATTGAACGTTGCGTATGCGCATAAAGTTATCCTGCAATCATATCGGCAAATTCGCACGTACAGACTTCTTTAAGAAAGCAAAAGTCGAGCACTCGTGTGAAGAATGTCGCACCGTGCGCCGCAAGTGCGCTGGACGGGCATGCGGTGCGTCAAACGAACGAATTCAAAGCGCATTTGACGGTTGCTAATGGCCAAAATATTTATGTGTTTGCTTTCTTCCTGCCTGAGTATGCCGAGATAACTTCAGACACACCGTTCAGGCACAGATATTGGGCGTAAGTAAAAGCTCGTCCAAAAAGGCTTAGCGAGGAGTAGGGGACGCTTGTTAGGGCCTCCGTCGTAGCTAGCCGATCTCAGCGTTTGCAAAAAGTTAATCTTTTGTCAGCATAAAATTTGAGTGGAAGATATATGATGACACGAGGAAGACATAGTAACTTTTGTGCAGTGGTGAGGTCGAATTTATTGCGTTTAAAAGTTCATGCGGAAACGCTGGGCTCAACTTTGATACCCTGTGAGGATGCGGCTTGCTTTTCGCCCAATGAAGTAACAAGAAGCGGCCGTTGGGCAAACGAAATACGTGTAAGGCCCCAGATGAACAAATTTCAGTTCTAGTTCACTGGTATTAGACGGGATTATTGAAATTGAGCTCAAACATGCACTCGTGGGGTGAGGTGACTAAGCCACGACTTGTTATACGTTTGCATACGCACGCACGATATGCGGTGTTTCGGGAACCAAGGAAATTGCCCCGGCCTTTGTTTTGTATCGCTCGAGAATGAGTGTATTGTACGTTCGTGAAAAGTCAGATAATCGAAAACGCAAGCAGCGCGTTCGGTCGCGGCGTGATAGCATGAGATGCAGCTGCTCAGTCGAAACCGAAACTGAGTGGCCTACTAGTTCCCAGAGTGCACTGCGTGGTATTTCGCCGCGATGGGGCGCGTCGGTTTTGGAAGAAGTCCGTTCCTGAATACAATTTCGGCTTGTATATATGATGGACTGCGATATCCTGGCTTTGGCAGAGTGCTTTTCCCTTAGCACCAGGGTGCACTACAGTGAAGCAAGACACACAAAATTGTGATGCCTACTCCGCAGTAGTCGCTTCTCTGCAGTACACCAATGTACGGCGAGAAGTGCACACAACTAATGCGCCAGAAGACCATGACTTCCGTAAGTCTTTGTTACAAAAATGCAGTCAAATAGTATGGTACTGGAGGCAATAATCAACTCGCATAAGCCTAAAGTAACTACCGGCCGGGTAGCCAGACCTGAGCTATTATGTTTTAAATACTATTATTAAAGATAAAGTTGTTTTGGCACAAATTCCTCACATTTTGGTCAAATGTGGCAGGATATAGCAGCGTAAACACTTTGGTGCAGCAATCACATCAGTGGCATAAACGCCGACGGAAAAGATGTTAAACAGACAAGCTGAGCTGGTGTAACCTCATGAGAAGGCAATGGAACAGCAGCAAAAAAAACAACACCTCAATTCCATTTTGATGTCAATGTTCCAAGGCCCGATATCAACAAAAAGCTGTCCATGCCCACTTCATACACTTAGTGCACTACTTTTTCTAATTCGAGATACGGCAAGGATACTTCAGTATCGCAAGATTTGTATGTACTTTATGTTTATTTTTTGTGCCAATTTTTTTAGTTATCACTTTTACAGAAGTGAGTAAATTAGCAGGAACAATCGATGGAAGCTTTAAAAAAACCTTAGTGAATTCAGCAGAATTGTTTTTAAGGTGTATTAATAATTCACATAGCAATTTTTGTTGTGAAGTTCTACATATAAACTAATTGATGTTCCTAATCAAATGGGAAGTGCTTTGTTTTTGATCTGAATTATAAATTGCAGTTTTATTACAATCTATAGAACTTGAAGGAAACATTAATTTGGGTGCTCAAAATTATTGTATTTTAACATTATTTCAGTTTGATTGAGTAGCTATTCACAGCAGTTCGTGCTGTCCTTCAGTCATCTTGTTTCCATCTGTGGTGCTTCTCTACGGATTTAAATGCTAGTTCTTTGTTTGAGGGAATCGCTCCTGCTGTGCGATCGATGCTAACAAAGGGTTGCACATAATTGAGAAGGCAAAGTAGACGTTGCCTTTTAGTTGGACAGGCTGATGCATTAATCTTAATATGTGCAATCATATGCTCCATAATGACTTCGACCAGTTGCATCACTGTTATGCTTCTTAACACTACAGCGTGCCAGGCGGGCAGAAAGATGAGGTAATACTGAAATTCCGCACATTAAAAACACGTTGAGGGTTTTAAACGTGAAACATTGTTTGGCTAGTTGTTTGGCATTTCGTGAAACCCAAAAATGTAGCATGGATAAAAGGGTGGTTTTTTGAGTAGGGGAGGAGACGCTATCGCACTAAAAAAAGTGTTTGTGCCAGGTGTGAATCGAACCCAGACTATTTAGTTGATTAAGTTAGTGTCTTTCCAGCATGTCGCGGTACACCGCCGTGAGTTGAGGCGCCGTTTGGTAGGAAAGCCTTGCGGAGCATCCGCTCTGCTTCCGGCAGATGCAGTTTGACACCCTGTCGCACGTTTTAATGTGAAAAATTCTGGCTAGGTGTTCGGCATTTCGCGAACGCTGCATAAAAGTGGCCGCAAGGCTTGACACTGATTATCATCGTTATGGGGTGGGAGAGGAGAAGTGAGGTGCTCGACACCGATTGGTTATTGGGGAGATCATGTGACCTGAGGGGTAGGTGAGGAGAAGCTCGACCACCTGTGCGCACTGAGGGAGAGGAACTTGTATGGAAGACTGGAAGATCGCCAGGTTTATCAGCCCGAATAGCGGTAGTGTCGCTTCATTCTAGGAACAACTATCAAGTGTACTCTAGGGTGCCTTCATGTGCGCTTTGCTTAGGGTGGAGACATCTGGCCATTTCGTCCCACACTTTTATTTTTATTTTTTGTTCAGAAGCGCGTGAAAGAGCGTGCCCCTGCACGCGTTTTTGGCGCTGACTGTGCTATGGCGACATTTTGTTTTCGTCGATTTCTTTGTATTTTACCCGTGAGCGCGGACTGTCGGCATCGGGTACTACAAAGGGTGGCATCACCCTTTACAGAGGGACATTGAGCCACCCTAGTGTACTCATGTCGTGCGTTCAACTATCCGATGAAGAGTGGCGTAAACGTAGGCGTCTGGTTTCTAAAAACTTGGTATCGCTAAACATTTGTGATGCAAGAATGTTTCACATATCCAACACAATTGCCTAACAATTTGCCATAACAATTTTTTTTTTTTTTTTTTTTTTGCAGTTAAAAGCTGTCATCAGACTATTACTGTGGTAGGACGGTCATGGGTGACACTAGATTTAGTGACTCTAGGTGACACCAACGTATGAGGTAGTCTGGTGT